TGGATGGATGGATGGATGGATGGATGGATGGATGGATGGATGGATGGATGGATAGATAGATAGATAGATAGATAGATAGATAGATAGATAGATAGATAGATAGATAGATAGATAGATAGATAGATAGATAGATTGTTGTGGCTCAGCTGGAGCCTCAGGAAGAGCAGGAAGAGGATGATGGGTTTCAGATTCCTGAACATGTTCCTATTGTTGATACAGATGATGCTGAAGACAAGGCCATGGGAAGGGATGTTGTCTTAGAAGATGTTTCTGATCTTAACAAAACTTCACAGGTGCAGGTGGAGGAGGCGAGCCAGCCTGTGAGCTCTCTGCCTGCTGATTCTCAGGCTGCCAATTCCCAGCTCCAGGATAATGAGTTATTCGACCTTGAAGGCTCTGCAGATCTAGGTAGGGAGGATCGTTTGCAATTCAGGGTTCGCAAACAAGAGAGAGGTTAGAGGTCAAAGGAATGCTTTCATGCTGGGAAAGTATATTTAGTCAGCTGATTGAAGGCAACTTTTTGTCAGTGCAACTTTAGCGAACAACTTGATAACTTCTTGGGATTTCCTGGGCTTTTGAGCAATGCTTTCGACTTCTTGGGACTTTGATTTGAATCTTGGCTTCTTGAGACGCTGCCATCAAATCTTATTTGATCAATGCTTATGGAATATGCTTCATGTTATTTGCCTTTGGACTTTGCAAACTCTGCCTTTGCATTTAAGACTCTGTTTGGCTATTAAACTTTTGCAACTTTACTTTTGTGTTTAAGACTTTGCCTTTTCTTTAATAAATTACAAAACCTACAGCCATGGTGTGTGTGATGTTCAGCCCAAAAAACCCTACAACAACCCAGTTTATTGTTGCTTGTCTACAAGTATCCTCATTTTCATCTAGGAAAGACTGGATGCTATTGCTGCTGTTGCTGCTGTTTTATTGTCACCCTCTCGTCACCAATTTAACAGTTTTTAATTATTTTGTGTGATTTTTACTATTTCGCTTTAGCAATTCTGTGTTTAATTCTGTTTTCACGTTTATATGTTGTAGATTTTCAGTCGTTCTTTGTATTCTTTTTTGTGTTTTGAGCCACTTTGAATCTTGTTTAAAAGAGCAAAGCAGGATACAAATCTTTGTCACCATTTCAAGCGTTTCAAAAAGCCTTTAAATTTGGTTTGTTAGGTATTTTGGCCAGAGAGATGGTTTTAATCTATAAACTCACCTAGAAATGGATGTCCAGGGAACAGTAGTATCAAAATCAAGCATCTGATATCTATCTTCTTCAAAGGTTTGGCTCTCAACCAACAATCTGAGGTTACTTGAGGACGAATATGCCATTAGTAAGAACTCCAAACAATATATTTCCCAGTGAGGTATCTAGTGCCCTTTGCAAATCCTGGTAATGGGTCTTCTGTAGCTACTGAGCCTTGGTTTCAATCAAACCATGAATAAATGATCAATGCAATTGCATAATGATGCGCGCTTCACATCATGGCATCGAGCCATTTATTTGTAAGCAAACCCCACTGTTTACACTTTGTGGTCTTGCTAAGCCAATGGGTCTCCTCCAACCATCAGCAACAGGATCAGAGCCTATGAATTCAGTCAGTCCCAAATTAATGCTCAGTGCATGTCATGCTTCAATCAGGAATCAATGATAAAGAGAAGAACCTGATGACATACATTACATGACGCCAAGCCATGTCTTTCCAACCCAGTCACCTTGCACTTACTGTCTGCCCATTGCAAATCTTGCTGAGTCAATGGTCTACTCTAGCCACCAGCAACAGGCTCCTAGCCCATGTAATCATGCCAGGAATCGATCGCCATTGCAAAATTGGTGCATGTCATAATCCCAAATGATTCATCTGTAATCAAGCCACCAGCAATGGGCCTTGAGCCTATGAATTCGACTGGTCCATGAATCCATAACCAATGAAAGATTGGTGGATGTCATAATCCCAAATAATTTCTTGGCAGCCAAATTACCTGCTGAGAAGTTTGCTCTCCTCTAGTTGAATCAATGGGTCTACTCTCACTGCTAGATCTCCTTTGGCTGTGTCAATAGGTCCAGTTTAAGGGTTAGATCTCCTCTGAGTCTCAAGGTCTATTCTATCTAACATCTCCTCTAGCTGAGTCAATAGGTCTAGTCCAGCTAAACCAAGAAGTCTATTCTAGTTGAGTCAACAGATCTACTCTAGCTGACTCTATAGATCTACTCTAACAATTAAATCTCCTCTAGCTGCATCAATAGTTTTACTCTAGCTGTGTCAATTGGTCTATTCCAGCTATTAGATCTCCTGTAGAGTAGACATATTGATCTCCTGTCAATAGGTCTACTCTAGTTGAGTCAATATCTTGGTATGACAATAGGTAACTTCTAGCTATTAGATCTCCTCTAACTGAGGCAACAGGCCTACCTTATGAGATCTCTAGCTGTGTCAATGGGTCATATTTAGCTATTCAATCTTTAGCTGAAGCAATAAGTCTACTTTGGCTATGTCAATAGGTCTACTCTACTTATTAGATCTCTAGCTGAGTCAATAGGTCTACTCTAGTTGAGTCAATAGGTTTACTCAAGCTATTAGATCTCCTCTAGCTGTATCAAGAAGTCTACTTTAGCTGGATCATTAGGTCTACTCTACTTGTTAGATCTCTAGCCAAGTCAACAGTTCTACTCTAGCTATTAAATCTCCTCTAGCTATGTCAAGAAGTCTACTTTAGCTGGATCATTAGGTCTACTCTACTTGTTAGATCTCAAAGTCAATAGATCTATGCTAGCTGTGTCAAGAAGTGTACTCTACCTATATCAATAGGTTTATACACTATTTGTTAGATCTCTAGCCGAATCAATAGGTCTACTCTAGCTGAGTCAATAGGTCTATTGTAGATATGAGATCTCTAGCTATGTCAATAGGTCTACTGTAACTATTGATCTCTAGCTGAGTCAATGGGTCATATTTAGCTATTAGATCTTCGCTAGCTGAGGCAGTAAGTCTATTCTAGCTGTGTCAATAGATCAACTTTACTTGTTAGATCTCTAGCCAAGTCAATAGATCTACTCTAGCTGAGTCAATAAGTCTACTCTGAGTCAATAGGTCTACACTAGCTATAAGACCTCCTCTAGCTGTGTCAAGAAGTCTAGCTGTGTCAATATGTCAACTTTACTTGTTAGATCTCTAGCCAAGTCAATAGGTCTACTATAGCTATTAGATGTCTTTTAGCTATGTCAAGAAGTCCACTTCAGCTGGTAAATAGGTCTACTCTAGCTGAGTCAATAAGTCTACTCTGAGTCTATAGGTCTACACTAGCTATAAGACCTCCTCTAGCTGAGGCAATAGGTCTGCTCAAGCTGAGTCTGTAGGTCTTCTCTAGCTGCTTGATCTCCTCTAGTTGAATCAATAAGTCTGTGCCAACTGTGTCAATAGGCCTACTCTACTTACTAGATCTCTAGCTGAGTCAATAGGTCTACTCTAGTGGAGTCATTAGGTCTACACTAATTATGAGATCTCCTCTAGCTGTGTCAAGAAGTCTACTCTACCCGAGTCAATAGGTCTACTTTATTTGTTAGATCTCTAGCTGAGTCAATTGGTCTACTCTAGCTATTAGATCTCCTTTAGCTAAGTCTACTTTAGCAGTATTGTCGAAGGCTTTCATGGCCGGAATCACTGAGCTGTTGTAGGATTCTTTTCAGGCTATATATGGCCATGTTCTAGAGGCATTCTCTCCTGAAGTTTTGCCTGCATCTATGACAAGCATCCTCAGAGGTAGTGAGGTGAGGTCACCTCACTACCTCTGAGGATGCTTGCCATAGATGCAGGCAAAACGTCAGGAGAGAATGCTTCTAGAACACGGCCATATAGCCTGAAAAAAACTACAACAGTGGTTCTCAACCTTCCTAATGCCCTGACCCCTTAATACAGTCCCTCATGTTGTGGGGACCCCCAACCATAACATTGTTTTTGTTGCTACTTCATAACGGTCATTTTACTACTGTCATAAATTATAATGTAAATATCAGATATGCAAGATGTATTTTCATTCACTGGACCAAACTGGCACAAATACCCAATGCAACAACATGTAAATGCTAGTGGAGTTGGGGGAGGATTTATTTTGTAATGTGGGAGTTGTAGTTGCTGGGATTTATAGTTCATCTATAATCAAAGATCATTCTGAACTGCACCAGCAATAGATTTGAACCTAATTTGCCACACAGAACTCTCACGACCAACAGAAAACACTGGAAGGGTTTGGTGGGTATTGACCTTGAGTTTGGGAGTTGTAGTTCACCTATATCCAGAGAGCACTGTGGACTCAAGCAATGGTGGATCTGGACCAAACTTGGCACCAATAGTCAATATGCACATATGTGAACACTGGTGGAGCCTGGGGAAAATAGACCTTGACTTTTGGGAGTTGTTGTTGCTGGGATTTATAGTTCATTACAATCAAAGAACATTCTGAACTCCATCAACGATAGAATTGGCTCAAACTTCCCACATGGAATCCCCATGACCATCAGAAAATGCTGTGTTTTCTGATGGTCTTTGGCGACTCCTCTGACACCCCTTCGAGACCCCCTAAGGGGTCCCGACCCCCAGGTTGAGAAACACTGACCTACAACAACCCACTCTACTTGAGCGGTTTGACCTTGAAGGAGCTGGGGGTGGTGACGGCCGACAGGGAACTCTGGCATGGGCTGGTCCATGAGGTCACGAAGAGGGAAACAGCTGAACGAATGAACAACAAAACTTTAGCTGTGTCAATAGGTCTACTCTAGCGACTCTTGCAACCTAGGCATTCAGTGAGTCCAGCAACCCATGCTGGGTGCATATACCATGCTTCCATAGCCTGTCTCCCGAGCTGCCCGCATTTTGCAAATCCTGCTGGGCCAATGGGTCTCCCTCCTCTAGCCATCTAGGGCCAAGGGGATCAGGGTCCTCCGGAGGAGACGCTGCTTGTGCCAGCCAGCCAGGCACCTTGCGAGAGAGAGAGAGAAGAGAGAGAGAAAGAGGCGTGGTGCTGAAGAAGCCGGAGAGAGAGAGAGAGGCAGAGTTTCCTGCTTCGGCAGAGAAGGGAGTCGAGGCGGAGGGAGAAGAGGAAGGGGAAGAAGAGGAAGAGAGGGCTGTTTGTCTCCCAAGAGACACAGACACACACAGAGAGAGAAACCCGGGATGGAAGAGGAGAAGGAGGAGGGAAGCGGGGCGGCCGCCTGGCAATTGTGCAACTGACCCCAAGAAGAGGAGGAGGAGGAGGAGAAGAAGGAGGCCCTTTCAGATCCCAGCAAAGCGGAGGGAAGAAGGCATCGATCCGGCTCCGGATCGCCCAAGATGAGCGGCACCGGCGGAGGGGGTGAAGTGGTCTGCGCCGGGTGGCTCCGCAAATCGCCCCCCGAGAAGAAGTTGAGGAGATACGTAAGTCGAGGCAAAGGAGGGGGGGAGGAGACTCAACGAAGGTCTTGTTTGGGGAGGAGGAGAGAGAGAGAGAGAGAGAGAAGTCGCCCCTTGCATCCGAGGCCAGTCTTGGATTGTGTTGGGTTGGGTTGGAGGAAGAGATCCTCCAACCGAGGAGGAATAATCGGGGGTGGCATCTCCACCTTGGTATCTCAGGTTGTGGTTGGGTTTGGGGGTGTCAAATGGTCGGGTTTGGGGGGAGAGGAGGAAGAGGCAAGACTAAGCAAGGTGGGTTTGGAGGGAAGAAGAAGATACTCCCGTTTTGAGGGGAAAGAGGAGCTGAAACCGGGGTGTTGTGATGACTCGCCTCTTTGCCTTCCATGTGCAAACCCAGATGATGGTTGGGATCCAGGGTTGGGGAGAGTTTGGAGGGGAGAAAACGCTCAGGGGGGTTTGTTTGGGGGAGAAAAGAGGAGGAGGGACAAGGGAGAAGAGGAGGAGGAAGGCGACCCCCTTGCCCTCCATGTCTTACCTCGGATTTCTTTTGGGAAGGCGGGGTAATACCACGAACTCAACCTCTTCCAATCCTTGCAAGATTGTGGCTGGGTCCGGAGTTGAACAAGAGGAAGGATGATCATGATGATGATGCTTGTTGTTGTTGTTGTGTTGGTTGTGATGGTTGAGAATAGGAGTCTTTGCTTCTTTACTACAGCGGGTTCCCGTATCCGCGGGGTCAAGTCTCCCCGAGCGCGGATAATGAGGTCCCACTATTGGTGTTGTGGAGGAGAACAGGAATCGTTGCTTTTTACTACAGTGGGTTCCCCTATCCACTGGATTCCCCCCCAGACCGCGGATACCGAAGCCCCACTATTGTACTGGTTGATGAGGATAGGAGTTTTTGCTTTTTACTACAACATGTTCCCGTATCCGCGGGGGGTTGTCAACCGACCGCGGATACCGAGGTCCCACTGTTGGTGTAGTGGTGAATGAGGATAGGAGTCTTTGCTTTTTTTCCTACAAGTTCCCCTATCCGCTGGACACCCCCGACCACGGATACCGAGGTCCCACTATTGGTGTAGTGGTGAATGAGGATAGGAGTCTTTGCTTTATTCTACAACAAGTTCCCCTATCCGCTGGACACTCCCATACACACCCCTGACCTAGGAGTCTTTGCTCTTTTCTACAAGTTCCCCTATCCGCTGGACACCCCCCCCCCCCACACACACACACATACCCCTAACTACGGATACCGAGGTCCCACTATTGTAGTGGGGGAAGAGGATAGGAGTCTTTGCTTTTTACTACAAGTTCCCCTATCCGCTGGACAGCGGATACCGAGGTTCCACTATTAGTGTTGTGGTGGATGAGGATAGGAGTCTTTCCTTTTTTACTACAGCAGGTTTCCCTATCCGCTGCCCCCCCCCACACCTTGACTGCGGATACCGAGGTCCCACTATTAGTGTTGTGGTGAATGAGGATAGGAGTCTTTGCTTTTTACTACAAGTTCCCCTATCCGCTGGACCGCGGATACCGAGGTCCCACTATTGTTGTAGTGGGAAATGAGGATAGGAGTCTTTCCTTTTTACTACAGCAGGTTCCCGTATCTGCGGGGTCAACCCCCTCCCCTCCCTGACCGCGGATACCGGGGTCCCATTGGAAAGTCTAGGGAGGGATCCTCTTTAATGTTGGTGCCTTCCTCACTACAAGAGTGTTGACTTCTATGTGTATGTCTGTGTGTGTTGGGCTTGCAAAGTCTTCCTCTGTTCCCTTTGCAGCCCCCCCCCCCCTTTCTCTCTCTCTCTCCTCCTTCCTCTCKGCTTGTCCTTAGTTGAAGGTGACTCGGCGGGGGTAATGATTGACCAGGGAGAGAGGAGAGGGAGGGGCTTGTTTTGCAGGCTACAAAAGCCCAGGAGGGATCGATRCCTTTCYCTCTCTCGYCCMTCGCTTCTTTTCCAATCCCCCCCCCCCCCAAAACTGATCTATACATTCCTGGGAGTGGGTTTGATTGTATTCCCCCTTCTTGGAAGAGATGACACCCACCTGGGGTGCGGGGATGTAGGGCAAASGGCCTCCCTTCCTCCTCCTCCTCCTTTTGACTAAACCGGAGTGACTCCGGTGTCAGGGCTTTACAAAGCAGGGCGGATCAAAGAGGCCGCCCTCGCGTCCTGAAAGGAGAGAAAGAGAGAAAGGAGGAGGAGGAGGAGAATGAGAAAGGCGGGGAAAAGCAGGCTCTGATCCGGATCGGGTTGTTCTGGTTGCTGCAGGTGCTGATTGGGAGTGGCCCCCTCGCTGGGGCGCATTGTTTGGGTTTGCTCGCTGTCTCGCCGGCTCCGCCCTGCCCTCTAGTGGCCGTGGACGGAAGTGCAGTGCATTTCTCCATTGCCGATGGGGATTTCTGGAAGCACCTTCCAATTCATGCCCTATCGCACCTCTTTCATGTCCATGGAGACCCGGTAGTTGTAGTTTTACAAGGTCCTTAGCCTTCCCTGACAAAGTGCTGGTGCTTTAAAGAGATGCAAAGTTATTATCCCATAGTTTCCATGGAATCATAAGAGTTGGAAAAGATGACCCCCAAGGGCCATCTAGTCCACCCTCTTCTGCCAATCAAAGCACTCCTAACAAATGGCCATATAGAATCCAAAGCCATATACAATCCTTCCCTTATGCAGTTCAAACCCTCCCAGCAGGCAGCTATGTACAATCCAAGGCCAGGTACAATCCATGTCAATATCACAATCCATGTACAATACATATACAATCCAAGGCCATATACAATCTAAAGCCATTGACAATCCATGTCCATATCACAATCCATTTCCATGTACAATCCATTTCCATGTATAAATCTAAGGCCATAAACAATCCATGGCTATGTCCATATACAATCCATGTCTATATACAATCCAAGGCCATATCACAATCCAAGACCGTGTACAGTCCATGTCTATATACAATCCAAGGCCACGTACAGTCCATGTCTATATACAATCCAAGGCCATATACAATCTATGTCCATATACAATCTAGACCCATATGCAATTCATGTCCATACCACAATCCAAGGCCATATACAGTCCATGTCCATATACAATCTAAAGCCATATACAATCCACGTCCATATACAATCCATGTCCATTGATATATACAATCCAAGGCCACATCACCATTCGAGGCCACATACAATCCATGTCCATATCACAATCCAAGGCCATATCACAATCCATGTCCAAATACGATCCATGTCCATATACGATCCATGTCCATGTCCATATACAATCCATGTCCATATACGATTCATGTCCACATCACAATCCATGTCCATATATGATCCATGCCCATAGATGATCCATGTCCATGTCCATATACATTCCAAGGCCATATACAATCCATGTCCATATCACGATCCATGTCCATATACGATCCATGTCCATATACAATCCATGTCCATGTCCATATACGATCCATGTCCATATCACAATCCATGTCTATATCACAATCCATGTCCATATATGATCCATGCCCATAGATGATCCATGTCCATGTCCATATACAATCCAAGGCCATATACAATCCATGTCCAAATACGATCAATGTCCATATACGGTCCACGTCCATGTCCATATATGATCCATGTTCATATGCATTCCATGTCTATATCACAATCCACGTCCATATCACAATCCATGTCCATATATGATCCATGCCCATAGATGATCCATGTCCATGTCCATATACAATACAAGGTCATATACTATCCATGTCCATATCACAATCCATGTCCATATCACAATCCATGTCCATATCACAATCCATGTCCATATCACAATCCATGTCCATATACAAGGCCATATACAATCCATATCACAATTCATGACTGTATACAACCCATTTCCATGTCCAATCCATTTCTGTGTACAGTCCAAGGCCATATATAATCCATGTCCCTATCGCAATCCAAGGCCATATCATGTCCATATCACAATCCAAGGCTATATACAACCCAAGGCCGTGTTCAATCCAAGGCCACGTACAACCCAAGGCCGTATACAATCGTCTCCTTCCATCAGTTGGGAGAGGCGATCAAATGTATTTTATTATGAACCTTGGGGAGAGCCCAAGGGCTGTGCAGTCCGACTCCCTTCTTCCATGCAGGCAGACAGAATCAAAGCACCCCCAACAGATGGCATAACTCTGACATAAGTCCAATCGAGTTCAGTGGGATGTATTCCCAGGGAATTGCAAACCGGAGCCATCCTCAGTGAGTTCTTATGAATCAGCAGTTTGCAAAGTACTGACTTCTTTCTGGCTGGACTCCACTGCTGCTGATGGGGAAATTGCACTGGCTCTGAATGATGGATGGAAGTGCCGCAGCTTTTTCTGCTTTTAGTTGTGCTGGCCGTATTTTCTTTTCTCAGACCCTTAAGAAAATCTGTCTTGGAGGAATTATTTTATTATTTCTTTTGTCTCTCTCCTGTGGAGTTATTGCAGTTTAACACCTCTTGAACCGCCATGGCTCAATGCTATGAAATGCTGGGATTTGTAGTTTGGTGGGGCAGCAACCTTTTTGGGCAGAGAAAGCGCAAGACTTTTAGAAACTACAGCTCCCATGATCCCAGCCATGGCAGTCCAAGTGGTGCCAAACTCCATTGTGTAGATACAACATGACTAGACTAGTTGGATAAAAATACATGGAGGTCAGACTCTTGGGCACATTGAATTTCTAGAGTTAAACATAAACTCACGCATGAGGATCTTTGCTGTTGTTGCTCCCGTTGTCACCGCCGCCTATTGTGCTATGCATTTGACATTGATTATTATTGACTTGTGTACTTAAATTAATCAATTTCTGTGCCATCGGTCCCAGAATAGCCCACAGAAATACAGAGGGTCCTATTTTTGGAACAACTCTGGGCTCCAACCACCTTAATCCAGACATATTTTGGGGCTGTATTGTTGAAGACTACCTCTGAGGATGTTTGCTATAGATGCAGGTGAAATGTCAGGAGAGAATGCCTCTAGAA